AATAGGGGACAGCTGCAGCAGGTAGGTAAGCATGTACGTTAGCTTTTATATGTTCCCACGCTTTTCTTTAAAGTTTTACTGTTTGTTAAGAATATGCAAATACTAATGTATCCCTAGTCGGGGCACAGGTGCATTTTAAGACTACATTCACACAAACATTTCAGGGCTTGCTGCATCTTTGCTGTAGTGTCCAGGAATGCACCTCTTCCACAGAAAATAATGGTACCATTTGTAACATGTAGCTAAAAAACACACTCCATTGGAACAATGCTGCTTGAAAAAGTTAACACAAAGCCATGTAACCCCAACAGATCTGTTCCTACTGACAAAACTGCTAACAGCCCATTTATCTTTATCTATTGGGTTGCTCCCTTACTGTTCCATTGCTGAGAATGTAAGCCTTTTGATCAGGAAGCAATGACCATGGGATCAAGCAAGGTGTCAGCAACCTAAGGCATTATCTATGTATTCTGAATGTGCAAAATAATATATTAAAAACAGTGACTGTACAACATACAGCTTACAGGTATAAACATTATTTCCATGTATAGAATACCTGGTAACTTCCACCTACACAATTCCTGGTAACAAAAATATGATGAAGAATATATGTAGCTTGGTGTCCACAATTTCAGATAGATTACTGAACAGCATGCTGGATCTCACATTATACTTAACTAAAGTGTGTGTGAACTAAATCTATTTTTCAGCATGTTTATCTTAAAGTGGTTCTGAAGACTAAATGTTTTTTCCTTTTACCTTAATGAATTCTCTGCCTTAAGGTAATAAAAACACATACTACCTTCATTGTCCCATACCGGGCCTCTTGGCTCACCAGCAGAAGTTGGCTTCCTATTTGTTTTTGTTGGCCACTAGAACAATTGCTCAGGCATGGAAGAGCCCGTTTGTCCCTCTTCAGGGGGTGCGGGGCCGTATGACCACTATGATGCTCAATGAACAGATGTCGAGTATCTGTAACGGCTCCCAATGAAAATTCTTGAAAATATGGGAGCCGTGGTTGCAATATGCCTTTCCCATGCTCCCCCCGGCTAGTCTGGGGTTGTGATGTTCCTCAGTATTGGCGTTCTCAGACCCCTGCTCTTGGTCTCATCTTTTTCCTTTTGTACTCCTCCTTCCTTTTCTTTTTTTGTTTTTGGTGTGGCAGTGGATAGCTGCCTTTGGTTTGAGTTACTGTTGGTGTTATACCAATGTGTTTGTCATTTATGTGCCATTGATAGCCCCTGCATGGGAACACCTTTTCTCTGTTGGTGTTAGAGCACTGTTTTTTTTTGTGCAATTGATAGCCCCTGTGTGGGTGTGTTTTGTTGCTCATGTCTTAAACTGTTTATAAATTAATAAAAATAGTGAAATACAACTATACATACTACCTGCCAACCCCTTTGTCCCTGGTCACTAACTTGGATCCAGCACCCCCTACTTCCTGTTTTCAAAAGGAGAAAATGAGGGCCGGGGGAGCCATAGACTCCTGCTGCCATCAGTCAAACATCTTTGAGAAGGGAATGCTGGCGTGGTTTAAAGCACTCTGTGTGTGTCTATGGAAGCACACAGACCAGTTCAGGAGCGCACAAGCACGACTGCTTCCTTAGCACCTGGCTTGTTACAGGAGGTACCTGGAGGAGGGAGAAGCTGAAAACACTGGCGGGGGACTATCACAGCAGGAAAGGGACCTTTCTTTGCAACATCTTTGCACAGAGAATGTGTTTATCACTTTAAGGTCTCACTGTAAACAGTTTTCTGAAGCAAATTTCTTTTTGTGAATTTAACGCAAAAACTTCTTACGTGAAGATTCTGACCATTAGCCATTGGGTAGACCAGGTCTGACAGATAGGCAGCCCAACAACCAACTGAAGGAGTGTGCATGGCAGGCCGACAACAATTCTGCCAATTGCAAGGCAGTGGCTTCACATTGTCAGCATACAGCAGAAAGTTTTCTTACTGGCAAGATCTCCTGGTACATGGCAACAGATTAACATAACATTATTTTTTTTTTTAATTTGTATACAGCAAAAGATGATGCCAGACATACTGAGAAATATATTTTGGGCTCATAATTAAAGTATAACTAAGGGATTCTACATGACAGTCTAAACAAGTATCAAATTCAAATATGTGAAGTACAAGCCTCAAACTAAACAGTGCAAGCAAGAACAGCCTGCACAAGGGTGACAACACTGCTCTGAATTTAAAAGCAGTGTAGAGTTGTTTCCACACCATTATAGCAAGCTGCACAAGGTGGACTTCCCTGGCAGGCTCAACATTTGTAAGACTTTCCAGGGAGACTAAAAGGAAAATGATAAATGCAAATGTACTAGCAATAAATGATGAAGCACCTTTTTTATTTTTAATAGAAAACCTTAGTTCTAATTTAAAGCAGAATTCCAGGTAGATATTAACCCCTTGCCCTCCTGAGGATTTACCCCTCTTCCTGACCAGGCCATTTTTTGCGTTATGGCGCTGTGTTACTTTATCTGACAATTGTGCGGTCATGCAACGCTGCACCCAAATTAAATTTACGTCTTTTTTTCTCCCCCAAGAATAGACCTTGGTGGGATTTGATCGCCTGTGCGTTTTTAATTTTGTGCACTATAAGCAAAAAAAGACTGACAATTTTGAGGGAAAAAAAAATATTTTGGACTTTTTGCTATTAAACATGTCCAGTAAAAAATTTTGCAAAAAATCTAATTTAGTCAAATTTAGGCCAAAATGTATTCTGCAACATGTCTTTGCTAAAAAAAAAAAAAACACCCCACTACGTGTAAATTAATTGGTTTATATGAAAGATATAGCATTTACGAATGGCGGTATATATACACTGATATATATATATATTTTTTTTTACTAGTAATGGCGGTGATCAGTGACTTTTAGCAGGACTGCAGCAGACATTCTGACACTGGTGGGGAACTAACTTGGTGTCACTGACATCCCCAGTGACACCAATACAGTGATCAGTGCTAAAAAAAAAAAAAAAAGCAGACACTGTACTAATGACACTGGGCAGGAAGGGGTTAATGTGAGGGGCGATCAAAGGGTTAACTATGTGCTGGGAGTGTTTAACTAGGGGGTGGGGGGTGTGTGCTTTACTGTAAGCACACTGATAGAGATGGCTGTGCAGTGCATAGCCATCCTGAGCCGTGTGCTCCAGCTGAAAGGGAGGAAGACTGTTTGTAAACACTTTAATCCAGTAGGGTATTTATTAAAAATGCTGAATGTATTTTTAAATACAGCTTAACTATCCATATTTGTCTTTACATCAGCTTCCTGTGCAGCAGCTCTTATACCCTTCAGTTGTCCAAGGCAAGTACATGTATAAAATGATGCAGCTCACCCAGTGCAAATCCAAAAACCACATCAGATACAAAAGTAGTTTAAGACAGAAGAAAGCAGGGCAAGCTCTTCCAAAGTTAAGGTAGAACTCAAGCCAACATGCTTCACCCAGTTTTGATAGGAAGGGTTAGAACCTGACTCAGCTGCTCATTGTTGTCGCTTTCCTTTGGAATCCTGACCAAAACAGAAAGTGAGGGGAAATCCAAACTTACCATCTCACTTCCTTATGTCTTAGTGAGGAGAAAGGAAAAAAAAACCCATACAGGTATAGGTTCTAAACCTTTCCCACTCAAACTAATGCTAAAATGCTCTGGTTGGAGTTTTATTCTACGATCTAATCCAAATTTTAATTTAAATCACTTAAAGAGGAACTGAACTCTAGAATCTGTGCTCAAGAAAAGGAAAGCAAAGTACAAATGACTAGGCACCAGTGTTGCCTTTGGTCTCCATGCAGCTGATCTTTCCACCATTACTGACTTGATACATCTTGTTCTACACAGTCTGTGTGAAGGCAGCCATCTTGGTAGAAGCAGGGTTTGCTTTCTTATGTCAGGGCCTCCCGCAAAGAGAACAGTGAGCAGCACAGTAGTGACATTGCCAAACCTCACTCCAAATCACCTGAGACTTCACAGATGCAGCAGTGTCTTATGTTCCACATGGCGGATAAACACCTATGAGGCTATAGGCACAGGAGTGTCTATGCACCCTCACATATCAGGAAGTGCACTGCAATTTTTCAAGAGGAACACCAGACCAAAAAAAAAAAAAAAAAAAGGCAGATTTTCCAGTGTACTGCTTAGGCACAATTAACATTTCTAAATTTTCACTTTTTGAGTTCAGGTCCACTTTAATGCATTAGGCATTTCAAAAATACACTTTTTAAATCATCTGAACCCAACAAGCATACAAACATCCTGTCCATTTCCGTGTGTGTGTGTCTCAACATAAAACAAACCATATTAATAATGAGGCATTGTATATAGGTTCTTTTCTCTGCAGCCTTTTCTCTGTTAGCTGCTAGTGTTCTTCAATGGAGTTACTGAATAGGAAGTCATCTGTATGTTAAACCATATTGCTTCTTGCATTACCACTCTTAGGTGTTAAGGTTTGGCAAGTTACAGCATCTGTAAAGACATACTGTCATTTTTTTTTTTTTTTAAATGTGACAGTGTCTGGGTAAATCCATCCCCCCTGCCCCCAACCCACTGATACTCACCTTGGCAAGTGGGTCGGGGGCCATTACACAGACACTGTCACTTTGCCCTATATGGTGATGGTGACAGTGTCTTTAACAAACTGGTAAAATACTTTTTTCACTAACCAGCTTATAACAGAGGTTAATGGCCTTTTGATATTATGTAGGTTTACTAGTGTTTGTGTTACTTTCATATTTATAAAGCAGGAAATGTGACATTCACTAAAGGAATTTTTAAATTTCACTGATGAATTAATCTGCAGTACACTCGCTGCTTTATAAATATGCCTCATACATGTTAGTGGTTTTTCATACTCCTTGTTGGTAATTTAAAAAAGACAGAAACCCAGTGAGATCAGTATTGCTGCCTGCAGATTTGACTGATCTTCACACAGCAAAATGATTCACTTGCTCTCCAAGCCATTAAAACATTTCATACTTAAGAAAGCAAGGATACAGTCCCTTCCCGGGAACAGGATCTTGTGACATATCATTTCTCCCATAATGCACCCCACGGACCACAAGTCCACTATCAGTGTGACAGCACAAGGTGAAGGGGAGGGGGGAAAAAAGATGGTGGTAGGAAAAAAAAAAAAGAAAAAAAAAAGCAGAAGCGAGAGAGAAAGAGGTGTCAGTGAATACAAGTGAACAGCCAAGTGCAGGCAGAACCTGGAAAAGGTGAGAGGTCAGCATGGAAAAAAAGACAAGAGGAACCTAGGGCAGTGCAGAGTGGTTAGGTGATCATTAAAGTGCACCTGTCTTTCAGTAGTAAACATAATGCTGGTAAAAAGGTGGGTAGGGAAGATGAAGTTTTCTTCTCTATTCTCAGTATTGGAAACCCCCAAAAATACATCCAAACATTTATGCATGTTATCCTTTTATTATTCTTAAAAAAAAAAAAAAAAAAAAAAACAAACAAACACAACAACATATTTTAAGTAAATAAATATCTGTATTATTGGCAGTGATCTGCATTAAGGGATAAATAAACCCAAGAACAAAAATGTTATCATATTGCAGCTTAGCTGTCCTTAGTTGTGGTTAGCTACATTAAATATTTCTTCAGGCTAGGAACATTTCAGCAAGTACAGAAAATACCTGTTGATCTTGCCAGAAATGCACAGTCCTAGTCTTTTCCTGTGAACAAAAAACAAAGCAATTTTATCTTCTCTATGTAAACTACTAATCCCATCAGCCCCTATGTAATAGAGATGGACAAAGGCAGACATGACAACTATGGGCCCCTCTATAGATACAGTACAGGAAGTGAGCATAGCCAGCGAGGCACAAGAAGGACATTCTTTACAGAGTCACCAGGTGAAAATGAAGGAAAAATAAGTTTGTAAAAAAGGAAAGGAATGCAACCACCACAACTCTGCACTAGAAAGGCTGCAATATATTTAATTTTTGCTTTTGGGTTTAGATTCACTTTAAAACGTTAAGAGAACATGGAGAAGCCCTACAAAAATCTGGGTACTACATAAGCTAAATCATCTGTGGGGGAGAAAAATGGTGACACAGCAGTACTTATATCACACATTAGAATCTTTGTTTTTTATTTTTAATAAATTGCAAATATCTCAAAACAAACTTCTTTCACGTTGTTATTATTGGGGTATTGTTTGTAGACTGTTGAGGAAAAAAATGAATTTAATCCATTTTGGAATAAGGCTGTACCATAACAAAATGTGGCAAACGTGAAGCTCTGTGAAATTTATATATATATATATATATATATATATATATATATATATATATATATATATACACTACTATATTGCCGAATGATTGGGACGCCTTCCTTTACACACACATGAACTTTAATGGCATCCCAGTCTTAGTCCGTAGGGTTCAATATTGAGTTGGCACACCCTTTGTAGCTATAACAGCTCTTCTGGGAAGGCTGTCCACAAAGTTTAGGAGGGTGTCTATGGGAAGCACAAAAGAGAGGATTTCTCCCACCCACTTGGAGTATGTGGATGGGGGAATTTGTTCACTTTTTCTTCCCATTCAGCCCCCTGGCTGAACTAAAAAACTGAACAATGTATGGCCAGCTTTACGCTAACAAGCAATGCAGGGACCGACACGTCCAACCTCCAAAAAAAAAAAAAAAAAAAACCCCAGCACCCACATTCCTACTTTGCAACATAATGCTTGCTACGAAAATACAGGTGCACTTTAACCTTGTTGCAATGCCAGTGAAAGTACTGCCATTACTACTGGCAGCTCAAGGGTTAACAGAGTAAATCAGTCCCATGCTGCTGGCGTCACACAGCATTTAAAGGCATATTCCGCCCAAATCTAATGCCTCACTTTTGGGTGGACATTGGTGGATTAATCTCCCTTCTAACATTTGGGTACTTAACTCTCCCGATGTACTCTCTGCAATGAAAAATAAATGAGCATCCCACCCAGACAATAAGATCCCCATTATAATGTGACGACCCAGAAACTCTAGTGGTGAGAACTCCACCTGCGTAACTGAAAGCCCCAAGGGCGACTCAGCCCACCAATGTCCACCTAAATTTGAAATAGGAGCTTTGGGTGGCCTTTTAGGTTCTTTGAGGGCTAGAAATACAGCTTTGTCAAAACATATTGCAGACACTTATGTCATTTCATGACTTTGATAAAGTGTATGTATAACCAAAAAAAGTATTCTAGGTTTAGATGGATCATGAAAGGGTTAGACCCTCTGTTGAGTTTTTACTGCTGCCTGAGACAGCACTGAGGAGATTCGTCCTCTATCAGTTCAGATGACCATTTTAATCCAGACAAAAAGTGATAGGAAATCCAGCATGTTAAAGTCACTAGAGCAGGAGGTTAAGGGAACTCGTCTAATAGGAACACAGGTTCCAGTGACAACAATCCATGAGAGGGATTCCCCTGACATTGTAGCGATTTCCTTCACTTCTTGTAGCCTTTCCAGAACAAAACCCACCCCAGAAGCAATGCAGAAAGCAAAAAAAAAAAAAAAAAAGAAAGAAAAAACAAAGAAATTATGCATAGTCATAGCTATACATACACTTTTAAAAGGCTGTATGTTGCCCTCAGAAGCAAATTTAGGCACAGAAAGCTAATCAACAGTGATTACTAAAAGAAGAAAGCTGACACTAAATGACCTGGGTATAAAATGTCCATTACAGAATTGTGCTGAATGAGTCCTCCAGCCAACAGGCCTCGTATATGTCGGTGAATTAAAGATGTGTCTTGTGTGTTGCCTAGTGCATCTAATCAGATCTCCCCTTTCTGGTCTCTACTACATGACAGTCTAGGCTTACTGAGGGCTATAAAGTCATTTGTTTCTTTAACTATTTTTGTACATGAGAAAAATTTGACAGGAGGGTGTGAGCTTACTCCAGCATGGTAATGCGTCTTTTTTAAGACTGGCACATCTTACATTTCTGGTTAGCTCAGATTATTACACGTCACCCCCCACTTGACTCTTAACAGCAAACTATCACTCAGAATGTTACAACTTAATAATTAGCCTCTCAGCATTCTAGTAGGAACACTACTGGCTCTGTCTGTGTCCTATGAAATGCCAAGAAGGAACTGGGAGAAAACTGGACCTAAACTTGCGCTTACGCTTAAGAGGCCTTAAAGCTTAAAGAATAAGTTCATCTTTGGAACACGTTGCACCTGTATTTAGGGTGGCTGTGTGGGGCTCCACCCACATAGTTGCATCATTCATTCAGATTCCTGTGAATGAATAAACTACTAGTATCAATTTGCTAAATTCTTTTTGTGATACACATCTAAATCACCTAAAATACCTCCAAATATAATATGTTTAAATAAAACCACACTCAGATGAAGTCCGGAAGTGACGAAACGCGTTAGGGGAGTGACGTCATCACGCACACACGCTAACCGGAAGTGTCGCCGCGGCCATTTTGTTGGTTGGAAACATGTGGTTTTCAACCTAGGATTTGAAAGATTAGTGCTGGAAGCTGGATATCCCTGTTTTATATGTAAGTTTTGATTAAAATCTGTTCCTTTTTATGGATCCTGCCTAAAATAGCCTTTCTTTACTTGTATGAGGAATACCCCTGAAAAAGAAGGATGAAGAGATACCTTTTCTTTGTCAGCTTATGCCTGAAAATATTGGAAGAGGGTAATGGTACTTGGTATCACTTTTGGCTGGAGTTTAAAGGGTACTAGTACTTAGTATCACCATTCACTTGTGGTTGGAGTGATCACGATTTTTCACGTTTTTGGTTTTATTTTATTTATTTAAATTTTATTCATTATTTATTTGGATTGATATTTAATTAATTTAATTTGCACATTTTGATGTGTTTTGAGTTGTGCACAGAGTGAAGTATATAAGCCTATATTTTAAGGGTAATACACTATGAATTTTTTTCTTTTCTTTCTTCTTTGAGGTTATCAAGGAGTATTTTGAATCGTTTTTGCTTCACTGGACTTATAAGAAAATATTTTTGAAATTATTTTTGGGACTTGGACATTTTGGGGTTTAAATATCTATTCTACTTATTTGGAATTATGTGTGGTTTTATTTAAACATATTATATTTGGAGGTATTTTAGGTGATTTAGATGTGTATCACAAAAAGAATTTAGCAAATTGTATACTCTCTAGGGAGAAAGTAGTGTTTTGTGGTAGTGGTGCAATTAAGGAGCTTATTGATTGAAACTACTAGTATCATCTTCCACTGTGGTGAACGGACTTGTAGTCTGAATAAACTGTGGGTGACTGATCAGCAGAAGGACAGCCCATACAGAAGTGCAGGTAACAGAGCTGTACGCGCAGGTGCCTGACACTGCACCCACGATCTGCTGATCGCAGGTGCAATCCTTTGCAGGCTCCTGTTTTAAAAAAAATTATAAATGTACATTTATTAAAAAGGTGAACTTAGCCTTTAACCCCTCTATTTTTAATTTTTTTTTTTTAAATGTCTCTTTCACATGATGCCTACTGAGTTGCGCTAATCTGCACAGATAAACTCAGGCTCGTTGCTGTTGACAACATACATGTCAGGCGGGTGTGCACCGCATAAAAAGGCTGCATGTTTGCAATCGCTCACCATCCCTACACAACTTGCATATTGCGGGCCCCTGTTTTAGCATGTGGGCAGGTGTCCCGAAAAAAAAAGGCAGCTCGGAAACTAAATCTGGAGTTGTCCTCCAAATTCCAAGGAACTCAAACCTTTCATGACCTTTTTCTGGCAGAAGGTGCCAGAATTCAAACAAGTCTTTATGACAGCTTTGGTAACAGTAACACGTGCGACAAATTCAGATCGTTCTTACTACCACCACTTTAAGAATGTTGCTTTGAAATTTTTGCCAGTTTACAGATTAGGAAACTGGCGGCTACTGAGACCGACTCTGAGCTGGCATACTGAGACACGCCGATTCTCAGAGTTGGGCAAGCCGGTGCTGGGAAGCTATTATGAATGTGACAGCTCTCCGCAAAGGGCTCTATCCCGAGCCTGGAATTAGCTGTTGGCCAGGAGATTCCCTGGGCAAAATCTGAACGTATTCAAAAAGGGGCTGGGGATACTGGCTGATAACATTACACAGACATGGAAATGCTCACGTCTGGGCAATGAGTCACATGGGAGGCAGACCTAATAAAGAAACTAGTTTCAAATTTACCTATCAGGCTCCTCCCACCCAACTCCACAACTGCAGCATTGTCAATCAAAATCAAAGCGGACATGATGGGGAACTGGTGTCTCAGTTCATCATCAGGCTCTGCCAGCCCTATTACAAAATTCATCAGCCAAGTGCCTGTCTGTGTGATGGGCACAATGGCTGAAGAAGGAGCTCTGAAATGAGACAGAGTGTCTGGTATGGACATGTTAACCTCAGTGCTGCCACCACCTCCTAAAACAGAATTATATACCATTTCCCAAAAGGGACATGAATCTGTGTCAAACACAATTTCTTTGCGAAGGTGCAAAGGAACTATAAACCGTGTCTACGACTGCACATCATGGTTTTGGCCCCTGCACTCACAGCATATTAATGCAGAGAGCAGTGCTGATGTTTACATGTCAGCAAAGCTCTCTATATCATGCAGGACCACCCTCCAAAGTGAGAAAACCGAAGGGGACCCTGTATGTAACATGACCAGCCAGGAGATGAAAAACACATACTGCTGAGAAGAAGGGATCAAGGGGGGGGGGGGGGACCATAGGGGATAGGAGTTTGGAGCCTGGAGTTGAGCTTTAAAGCAGAACCACAATGAATTGATTCTACTTTAGAGGAGATAACTAAGGCAAATTAAACTTGGCTCAGTTTCTACTGCTCAAACCAATAAACTACATCTCTCCTTTAATCAAAAAGATTACCATATATTACACAGAGTGATTAACCATCTTACTGCATATTGTGGACCTTAATTTACCAGTACATAACAAGACAATGGTCTAAAACATCATGGGATATGAACATATTTAGAAATTGCAGGTGTTAGATTTAGAGATGATGACACAATGATGACACAACCTGCTTACAACAATGGGCTCCAATATGTGAGTGCACATGGGAATATGAGTAGAAACACTAACCATTTTCTTTGTATCCCATGCCCAAGATAACTTCCGGAGCTCTGTAGTAACGGGTGACAACGTATGGAGTCATCATGAAGCTTGTTCCTGCTGTCCGAGCAAGACCAAAGTCGAGAATTTTTAGGGTGCAATCAGACTTCACTACAATGTTGCTCGGCTTTAAATCCTGTGAAGCACAGAAAAGAAATGGCTATTAACTGAAGACATTCAGAATTTCTCTCTCTTGAGAAAGTTCAAACCAAAATGCATAAGTGACGCCACTAGGTACATCAAAAGATTGGCAGATACCAAATTCAGTTACTACATGATACACAAGCCTCAAAATAAAAAAAATTTAAAAAAAAAAAACAAAACAACTTTTACTTAAATGAGCCAAATCCTCGTTCCTTTGCATCTTACAAGACCCTCCCAACACTCCAGCTCCAAGTGTGAAGGTTTCAGCATCAGAAGCAATGCTGTCATTCCAGAAACAAATGGGTAGGACTAGGTGTGAACAGGTGATGACTGAAGAGCTGGCGGCTTGTAAACCAGCAGTAACAATGCTGATAACCAAATCCGCTGTAACATCTCATCCTGCTGTACTGCAAGAAGGCTTAGCCTACATGAGGGTGACATTGCTGCTTAGAATTCAGAAGCAGTGAAGCAGTGTTGCCATTCCATCACAGAAAGCTACATTAGATGGCGTTCACTGGCAGGGTCAACAGGTATTTGTGCAATTCTGCAGTGTGTCAAGGGAAGACTAGAAGTGCAGTGCTGAGAGGGTCAGCATAATAGCCAGACAAATAGAGAGGGATAGGTCACCAAAGGCAATATACTTTGACTATGGGGTTCGTTCACACCAAAGTATGAAAAAACACAATGATACTCCACCCATGCTCAGGAAAACGGTCACCTGCTTTTAACCAAAATACCTTCAATGCATAAAGCGAACCTGAATATACACTTATGCGTCAATATGGGCAGCACAGTGGCTAAATGGTTAGCACTTCCGCCTGGCAGTACTAGGGTCGTCGGTTCGAATCCCAGCCACGGCACCACCTGCCTAGAGTTTGCATGTTCTCACTGTGCCTGCGTGGGTTTCCTCCGGGTACTCCGATTTCCTCCCACACTCCAAAGACATGCTGGTAGGTGAATTGGATCCGGTCTAAATTGTCCCTAGTATGTATGAATGTGAGTTAGGGACCTTAGATTGTACGACCCCTGAGGGTTAGGGACTGATGTGAATGTACAATATATATGTAAAGCACTGCGTAAACTGACGGCGCTATACAAGTATCTGAAATATATAAATGTTGGGAAACACCCCTTTATGTTCAATGTAAGTAAATATCCTTTTAAAGAGTCCTACTTCTATAGGAAAAAATAAAATATATTGCAGCATAGAAGTCAAGCTTACACCAAGGTGGCAACACTTACTCACTGTACTGTATCATGGAAGAGCAGTATTGTCACCCCAGAACAGAAAGTGGTTTAGGACAACACCTCCATTTGGGGGGGGGGGGGGGGTGGGGGGGGGGGGGGGGGGGGGGGGGGGGGGGAGTGAATTGTAGTCTATAAAAGATAGCTGGTAACAAATTATCAAAAAACAATGGAGAACCACCCGCGCTACCCTTGATAAACTAATGGCCTAGGGATGGGCTGCTGCTGACACCCAACTAAACACCTGGATAGAATACTGATAAAACAAACAAAATGGTGCTGTGCTCCCACACTATAATATATATATATATATATATATATATATATATATATATATATAGCTAAATCAAATTAGATTAATAATGATCCCCTTATAAATCCTCCTGTGTAAGATAACAAAAATCAATATATATCAATATTGTGCAATCATATACAATGATTACAGGAGTGGTATGCGAGTGCGGCCCCTGCGCTAGCATGGTGCTCCAAGCTGGATTGCAGTACCCTTCCACCTTCTGCCTTTGGTTATCGGCTCTGCGTTCTACAATATACATACAGCAACGGCTGCCCGGTGCACAGCGAGATCCTGAGACTAGGATGACAACAAAAGTTTACTTTTTCGATAAGCGAGTTGCCAATTTATGAGCTCAATAAAAACTATTGGTTATCCACACTTAGATGGCACTTCCTTTTTTCTGCTTGCATTCTGTTTCTAGAGTTCACTTCTAACTCTTGGATAGCAAGTTTGAAGCAGACCACAGGAGTGTTTTCCTTGGACTCCACATTGGGTTTTAATTGGACTTTCAAGCTGTGTTGTATAAAGGCTCAGCACTATGGTTTTAATCATTTATGCACCATAAATACCCCTTTCGAAAGCACAAAGTTGTAAGCTTGCAAAAATTTCTGCCAGGGCCAGCAAACCAAAACACAGAAAACAGTAGTTGAGGTTAAGGTTTGCATACACTTTAATTAGCACACTGGTAAGACTCACCCGATGAATGATTCCTGCAGAATGTAAGTGCTTTATTCCACACAACATCTGGTAAAGTAAGTAGGACATACGCTCATGATCCAGCTCCATCTGTATCACCTGACACAAATTAGCATCCATAAGCTCCATCACAATGTACCTAGAAAAGGCAAAAAGTGCATCAGTGTGTGCGCGCACATTTGACACAGTTCCCCACACACAGCTAATGTGTAAGCTGAAGCCTAAATGCTTAGAAAATTAATTTAGTAAATGGATAGAAAATTGGCTAAGAGACCATATTCAGAGAGTAGTGGTTAATGATTCATACTCTGAATGGTCTAGGGTCATCAGTGGTGTACCCCAAGGTTCAGTGTTGGGACCCTTACTTTTTAACACAATTTATAAATGATATAGGGCAGCAATGGGCAAACTACGGCCCGGCGGACCTTTTAATCCGGCCCGCGGAGCTAGGCTCCCGCTAGGCTCCTCTCACAGTCCGCCCTGAAGACCGGTGTAGCATGAAAATCTGTCTCCTATGAGGATCTGTCCCCCTCGACGTATCTGCGCATGTGCCGGAGATCGCCGATCGGCTGCTAATGCCTGAAACTGGCACATGCGCAGATACGTCGAGGGGGACAGATCCTCATAGGAGACAGATTTTCATGCTACACCGGAACGCCGTGGGAACACGGCGAGAGGAACGCGCGGAGCAAAGGTAAGTGAATTGACACAGGGGGGACTTGGGGACTTAATATGGGGGATGAATTAATATGGGGGATGAATTACTATGGGGGGGGATGAATTACTATATGGGGGATGACTTACTATATGGGGGATGAATTACTATATGGGGGGATGAATTACTATAGGGGGGGATGAATTACTATAGGGGGGGATGAATTACTATAGGGGGGGATGAATTACTATAGGGGGGATGAATTACTATATGGGGGATGAATTACTATATGGGGGGGGACGAATTACTATATGAGGGATGAATTACTATGGGGGATGAAGTCAAAAAGTTTGCCCACCCCTGATATAGGGTCTTGAATTAAAAGTACCATTTTAGTGACTGAAGATGACACCAAGCTGTGCCGTGGAATAACATCCTTACAGGATGTCTCAAACTTACAAGCTGCCGTTGGGAGTCCAAAAACATGCACACATCATACATTCTAGGGAAGAGAACAGCAGGTTGAATCAGGGGTGGAGAAGGATCCGGGTGTTCTGGTAGATCATACACTTATTAATACCATGCAATGCCCAGAGAAAAGAAAGAAAAAAAGGAAAAAAAACTAAAGAAAAAAGGAAAAAAAACGAAAAAAAAAAAAAAGGAAAAAAACGAAAGAAAAAAGGAAAAAAACGAAAGAAAAAAAAAAGGAAAAAAAACCAAAGAAGGAAAAAACCAAAAGCAAAGGAAAAAAAACCAAAGGAGGAAAAAAACGAAAGAAAAAAGGAAAAAACGAAAGAAAGAAAAAAAAAACAAAGAAGGAAAAAAACGAAAGAAAAAAGGGAAAAACTAAAGAAAAAGGGAAAAACAAAAAGGAAAAAAACGAAAGAAAAAAGCAAAAAAATGCGAGATGGAAAAAACGTGAGATGGAAAAAAATGAAAGAAGGGAAAAAACGAAAAAAAAAACGAAAAAAAAAAAAAAAAAAAAAAAAAAAAAAAAAAAACGAAAGAAAAAAAACGAAAGAAGGAAAAAAACGAAAGAAAAAAAACGAAAGAAGGAAAAAAACGAAAGAAGGAAAAAAAAAAACGAAAGGAAAAAAACCAAAAGGAAAAAAACCAAAAGGAAAAAAAAACCAAAAGGAAAAAAAACGAAAGAAAAGGAAAAAAAAACGAAAGAAAAGGAAAAAACGAAAGAAAGAAAAACCAAAAGAAGAAGGAAAAAAATGAAAGAAAAGGAAAAAAAACGAAAGAAAAAAGGAAAAAACGAAAGAAAAAAAAAGGAAAAAAACGCGAGATGGAAAAAAACGAAAGAAGGAAAAAACGAAAGAAAGAAGAAGGAAAAAAACGAAAGAAAAAAGGAAAAAAACGAAAGAAAAAAGGAAAAAAACGAAAGAAAAAAGAAAAAAAACGAAAGAAAAAAGGAAAAAAAAAACGAAAGAAAAAAAAAAAAAACGAAAGGAAGGAAAAAAAAAAAAGAAAAACAAGCAGGAAAAAAACTAAAGGAAGGAAAAAAAAAAAACGAAAGAAAAAAGGGAAAAAAATGAAAGAAAAAGGAAAAAAACGAAAGAAAAAAGGAAAAAAACAAAAAGAAAAAAGGAAAAAACGCGAGATGGAAAAAAAACTAGAAGGAAAAAAACAAAAACAAAAAAAGGAAAAAAAGAGAAGAAGGCAAAAACGGAAAAAAAGGAAAAAAAACGAACGAAAGAAAAAAAGGAAAAAACAAAAGAAAAAAGGAAAAAACAAAAGAAAAAAGGAAAAAAGGAAAGAAAAAAAAGGAAAGAAAAAAGGAAAGAAAAAAGGAAAGAAAAGGAAAGAAAAGGAAAAGGAAAGAAAAAAAAAAAAGGAAAGGCAAAGAGAAAATTTTGCCCCTGTAAAAATCATAAATTTGGAATTCAGTTTTGGGCAGCAGTTCACAAAAAGGATAAATCGGAGAACTGGAGAAAGTGCACAGAAGGGCAAGCAAACGGATATGGCATGGAGGCATGGAGGAGCTCAGCGATGAGGAGAAAAGGCGATCAAGTTGGGATATGATCACCATGTATTAGTACATAGGTGGTCTATATAGTGAAAGTGGTGTAGAGTTTAAAGTCATCACAAAGGACAAGGGGACACTGGCTTGTCTGGAGGAAGAGAGATTTAATCTCCAAATACAGAAAGGCTTCTTCATAGTAATAGCTGTGAAAATGTGGAATAGACTTCCTCATAAACTAGCTCAGACCAGCTCAGTAGATTATTTTAAAATTGTCTGGATTCTTTCTTAAATGCACATAATATAACTGGATATTAAAGTGGAACTTCACCCTCTCAGTCAACACTATTTTTTAATCCTTTATGACTCTAGCATTAGTAAATAGCTAGGAAAGTAGATCATTTGTCTTAAACTTTTTTTTTTTTTTTTTAAATTTCTTCAGTTATTTCCTGGTTTCTAGGCCTAGACAAATATGCCACACATCTCAGGAGTTTTCAGGAGGAGAGGAAGGGTTCTTCTTAGCCAAGTATGCCCTCCTCACTGCATCCAAGTGCTAAGGGCAGATGGATTCCAGGAAGTAAATGCTACACGAGTCTTCTGCCCTTACTTAAGATGACTATGGCCAGAAATGCTAGGGGTGTTTTAAACTTGATTTTCAGCAAAATAAAGCATTGAGACATGGATGGATGAGTTTACTTTGAAAATTAAAAGTGATTTAAACCGTATTTTTGGTTTGTGGTGCCCAGAAGCAGTGTAGTTCCTCTTTAACATTCATAGGTAATAAACACAGGAAATTGTTGACCCAGGGAATATCTGATTGCCTCCTGGGGGATCAGGAAGACATTTATTTTTCCCCCACTGGAGCAAACTGGATTATGCTTTATAGAGTTATTTTCACCTTCCTCTGCATCAAGTGTGGATATAGGATTCTGTATAGGGATGTTTTCAATTTATTCTCTATAGTATTTTTTTTTTTATAATATTTATTTTCTTTTTTAAGGTTTGAACTAGATGGACTTGTGTCTTTTTTTCAACCTGTTACTATGTAACATTTCTAGCGTCCAGTCTCTGAAACCCAGTTGCAGCAGGTATTACCCCACTTCCGGATGTGTGAATACCTGCTAACCATACAGAACGTTGTGGTCCTACTTGACGGCTCGGGCACCTGTATATGTAACGATCCCTCGCACTACATCTTCGCCACAAAATATCCTTAGCCTTTCTGGGTGAAATGATGCCCAAGCGCCACTCATATCGTAACACGGTAAAGACTGAGACCATGGCATCATGGTCCCACCTCCTGAGCATGGCACCTTGCACTCACAATGTATTGATGCACAGAGAGAGTTATGTTGAAATAATGACATAAGCATCCCTCTCTGCATCATCCAGGATTGGCATCTGCCAAGTTTAAAAAAAATGCTGGGGATGGGAGCATGGAGGCCAGAGTCTGGCTTTAAAGTATTTTATTCTCTCTCTCTATGTATTATATATCACATGTACTACACAATCTAGCAGATTATTTCAGTGGTCAATCCCTTAGTCTTCATTCTTCCACAGTAAACCAATGGCAAGTGGGAAATCTGAAGATGCTCAGCAGTCCAAACTGCATAGCTGATATGTAGAGACCAGCCCAAGCAGCACTGAGGAATCTTGATTGAAAAAAAGAAAAGCTAGTAAAAAATGTGGCTAGACTATTTCCAGCACAGCAGAGGAAGAGATGTTCATCCTCATAGGAGCAATAAACCAAACATGCTGGTAGTAGGAGGAGGAACTAGTCTGCCTGGACTATAGTTTTTTTGTTTGCCAGTATACTAACCTGCTGAAGGAAGCAGTAAAACATGAAAGTAAAGACTTCCCATATCCGACAATAGACAAGAAACACAGAATTAAGGTAAGTTGGCTACACACAGAAAGGCTTGCAACAGATGGAAAGGTGCCATTCATGAAAAAGTTTGACTGAGGATAATACTTACAAGTCTTGGAATTCTTCCAGAGACTTCTGTGGTGTAAAGACATTTAGGAGCCCAATTATCTGAAAAAGACAAAAAGCAACTCAAAGCGAATACAGTACACGTCTTATCCTATTCACACACACACACACACACACACACACACACACATACATACATAAAAAAACAATCATCTGCCAGGGTTTGCTGTGAGCTAATCCGTATAGTACAGAGCCATGAACCTAGTGACCAGCCCCAACCAGCTTCCCATAGCAGATGACATGTCACAACCCTATTATAATTAGAATTCCATGTTTATTTGACCCTCCTGCCGCTCACTGGCTACTCTCCAGGCTCGCCTGTGCAATCGGGAAGCCTTGTATCCTATCGTGCTATCATAGAGCTGGCCGGGGACCAGATGGTCCCTAGCCATCTCTATGTTCCTGGGAGGCCGGAAGCAACGTCATGACCTCACTTCTGGTTCTGGCAGGTGTAAACACTACCATTTTTTTCCCAGGAAAGCAGAGATCAATGTTTTTGTTTTTCTTAATCTCATACTTTCCAAAGTAGAGAAGATTTTGGGATCTTATAGACCCCAGATGTCTCCCATAAAGAGGACCTGTCATGCCTTATTTCAACCACAAGGGATGTTTACATTTCTTGTGAAAGGAGTAAAAGTGATTAAAAAAAAATAAGAATAATGAAAAAAAATGTTTAAAGCACCCCCATTCCCCTGTACTCAGTGAACACATATTCATCGCTCCCGCATATGTAAACAGTGCTCGCACCACATGTGAGGTATCACCGCGAACGTTATAGCAAGAGCAATAATTCTAGCACTAAACCTCTGTAACTCTAAACTGGTAACCTGTAAAAATGTTTGCGCCGGCTATGGAGCTTTTTTTTTTTTTTTTTTTTTAGTACGGTGGTTTGGTGCCATTTTAGGAACATGCACAATTTTAAAGCAGGACACATTAGGTATATTTTTACTCGACTTATCTTTTATATTTTACCAAAACAATTGGGTCATATATTGCATTTTTTTGCATTAAAATTCATTAAAGTGTATTTATGGGGTTCTAAGTAATATTCTAACAATAAAATTATGATTTTTCATGTAGGAGAGAAAGTAAGTGGCCTGGGTGGAAAGTAATTACACTGCTAACAGGGCTGGTTAGTTTCAATCCCTCCCCCTGAATGTGTTAGAAGGAAAAAATTTGAACTTTTCCTTACACGGCTAGAAGAGCTTTGGCTACAAGAAATTAATGTAGCAGAAAAGTATGTGTCTCCTCTCAGGTCCACCCCTTCCAGATGATATCAGCTCTGCAATGCTGACACGTTTCCAGTACACACACAGTTTTCTTACTGATTATCTCATTGGAGTCCCCACTACTCCCCTGCACCGAGTGCTGTCATGCCACCTGGCAAACCTATACTACACATAGTGACTATTGTCATACCTTCTGCACTCCTCCTCTGCACATGACTGTTCTCATAACCTCTGCACTCCTTTACTGCAATACAATGTGCCATCCTGTATGCTGCTGAAGTTCCAATCAAGGAATGAATTGGGGCGAGCCTCAGGGACTTTTCTAAAATAAATAGTTGTGTACTGCTGGTATTTGACTTTCAGTGGCTTTTGAGGTGTCCTACAGCAACAGATTGTGGACCCATCGCTTCTAATAGGCACCTGCAGACTCATATAACATGTTAACAGTCTCTGACTATCCACTATCCAAACCTGTATCAGGTTTCCAGTTTCTGATTGTTTTCTTTAGTAACCCTGTAGTCTCAAGCAGTCCTCTGTGGTATTAAATATAATGAATATTCTGTGCAGCCCCTACATGAAATCAGGAACCACAGCTGAGACCCCCTACATCACGCCTAAGCTGACAACCACTGTTCTATGCCTTCATAAGTTTATTATTTTGACAGACTGTGCTCAGGTAGAGAGAAGGAAGGCATATTCTTCCACTCAGTTCACCAACGAACTAGCCAAGGTGAACATTTTTCAGAACAGAAAAAAAAAAAAAGTGAAAATCTATAATAAAATCCTTCTAGTTCATATAATCACCCAGAGGTGATTGTTTTCTGAAGAAACTTACATTCTTGTGATTGACACATTTCATGAGCACAAGCTCCCGGTACGCCCTCTTGGCATGGGTTTGATTCTGGAACGGTCGACTCAGCTTTTTGATAGCAACATGTCTTTCTAGAACAGTGTCATATGCAGCGCTGAGGAAAAAAAATTACACAACACAAACACTTCATAAAATGCAAACAGACACTGAGTAAATGAATAAGAGAAAAAAAAAATGTCTTTACCATACTATCCCTTGGGCTCCTGACCCAATGGGCTTCAGGTTTTGGTAGCGCTTCAAAACTGTGAAAGTGGAATCTCCAATTTCAAAGACAGAGAAGTTGTTGTCCCGTTTCCCTCGGCTCATGGTTGCACGAGCGTCTTCCCCAGTGGCTTCATCCAAACCTTAATGATTTTTAGCTGAAATCTGCCAATGAAAAGGGTCACACAGACGAGGGCAATAAAAAAAATCCTGAATTGGAAATGCTGACATGATATGACTTGAAAGGCTTATAATACACATTGCTGACTGGCATGCTGTACATTAAAGCTGAACCCGTGGATAAGAAAATATCTAAATACAAGAGGCAATTGTATTTTTACTTGAATTTTGCTGTGCTTTGTGTAGATCTGTGCAGCAAGGTTAAGTTAACCTTTGAGAACATGTTCCACCAGGTTTTTTTTTTTAGGGTGGAACATGTATCATGTTCCCACTCCTGTAGCACCTCCCCTATTCCCCTCCTCATGACAGCGGCCGGGAATCTTCTTTCAGCACCCGCTGTCACAATTTGACTACAGCACAGCCATGCAGGGCTCTGCCCACATGGCCACGTCATTCATTCATTCAAAGAGTTTTGTGAATGAATAGACAGTACAGACAGCCTTTGAGGCTGATGGCGTGTAGCTCTTAGGGAACTATGAGTGTGCTGGTGAGTACTCTGCTAGTCCATCAATTCTTCCTGCTCTCCAGTAACTGCCTGCCCGTACAAGAAATGGGCAGACAGCTATCCCGAGAGTCTGCAGAAGCCTGAGATCACACAGGGATCTGCTGATTGCAGGTGTAATGATCTGCAGGCTGCTTAAAAAAAATAACAATGCATTTTTTTACCTGCAAAAAAGTGCATTTATTATTTCTTTTGAAAAGGTGTGCTTTGGTTTAACCACTTGCCTACAGGGCACTTATACCCCCTTCCTGTCCAGGCCAATTTTCAGCTTTCAGCGGTCACACTTTACATGACAATTGCACGGTCATGTGACACCGTACCCATATGAAATTTTTATACTTTTTTTTCACACACAAATAGAGCTTTCTTTTGGAGGTATTTAATCGTCACTGGGTGTCTTATTTTTTGCGCTACAAACAACAAAAGAGGAAAAAAAATTTGAAAAAAAATTTTTTTTTTCTTTGTTTCTATTATAAAATTTAGCAAACAGGTAATTTTTCTCCTTCACGGATGTGCATTGATGAGGCTGCATGGATAGGCAGCATTGATGGGCCCTGATGAGGTGGCACGGATAAACAGCACTGATGGGCACTGATGATGCTGTACTGATAGGCAGCTCTGCAGGGCACAGGTGGGTGGCACTGATCATCAGTGCCCTAATGATCAGTGCTGATCACTTCTCTGACAATTGCCAGTTATAGGAAATACTTTTCACGCTGTGACAGTGTGAGGAAAGTGTAGCCAATAACCGGCAACCGTATTTACCCGGTGATCTGCTGTGTCATTGGACACAGCTGATCACGTGGTAAAAGGCCGCCGTGATTGGCAGTTTACCATACCCCATGATCAGCTGTGTCTGTAGGACACAGCGATCACCGGCGGCGTCCTGCTGGGGGTGCGCAGGGGGCGTGTTCTGGAATGATGTCCATAGACGTCGTCCCAGAACCAGACAACCGCGCTGTAGCCATCCATTGGCTATAGCGCAGTAGGGAACTGGTTAAGCATACAAACTCTGCCGATGTGCAAGAGCTTCCTGTAACACAGAACATTCACTATTGCTCTCTCTCATTGTGCAGGATGAGTGGTCTTGTATCTGCCCACTCCTATTGTTTGTTTCAGGAAGCCTGTAGTGGGTGGAGCCTGCTGTGACCCTCCCACACCTCTGCTCTCTGTATATACAGCATATCAGCACATTACGGCAAACTTGCCTCTCAGTTTGCTCCCTTCTCCAGCAGTGTCCCTGCAGCTGATTTGTGAAACACAATCTCAGCTGCTTCTTCTGCGTCCCACGGCGCTCCTCTTTGTTCGCTCACATTATAACGACTTCCTTGCCATCCAGGATTGTGCTGTATGGCAGAACGGTGTAAACCTCAAAAGTGAATGCACAGAAAGCCAAAGACTTTGGTGGGCAAAACAGCTCCCTTGGGTGTATTTTTTTGGTGCATTACCATCTACTCAGCACTAATGAAAATATTACCAAATCATTAATGCCCTCTTTCCTACAATTCTGACCATTTTATCAGAGCTTTGAGACCTATGCAATTCTATAAAAAGGAGTTGTGACACAAACAAAAAGAAATGACTGTATTTTCACTGCTGTTAGTATACTTGAGGGTCTTTACTTTAACAGTCAGAACCAGAATACGAGACTCTGGAACTGCAACACACGTGTAATAACGGTTATCCTACAATCACTCACACCGATGGAAACATTCTCGATACCATAGAGCAGTGTTTTTCAACCTTTTTTGTGCAAAGGCACACTTTTTTCATGAAAAAAATCACGAGGCACACCACCATTAGAAAATGTTAAAAAAATTTACCTCTGTGCCTATATTGACTATATATAAAGTAATTCTCTTGAATAGGAATCAAACACAAAGAAATTATTTTATAATTACTTTATTATGAAATAATAAAGTATTTTATAATTGGACCCGGGGGCCGGACCAAGAGTAGATGAATGATGTGTATGTGTCATCCATAGTAAGTATAGTAATATTCCCCCATAGTAAGCATAGTAATTAATCCCCCATATAGTAATTCATCCCCCATAGTAATTAATCCCCCATATAGTAATTCATCCCCCATAGTAATTCATCCTCCATATAGTAATTCATCCCCCATAGTAATTCATCCCCCATAGTAATTAATCCCCCATAGTAATTAATCCCCCATATAGTAATTCATCCCCCATAGTAATTCATCCCCCATAGTAATAATCCCCCATATAGTAATTCATCCCCCATAGTAATTCATCCCCATATAGTAATTTCATCCCCCATATAGTAATTCATCCCCCATAGTAATTCATCCCCCATATAGTAATTCATCCCCCATAGTGTAATTCATCCCCCATAGTGTAAATTCATCCCCCATAGTAATTCATCCCCCATAGTAATTCATCCCCCATAGTAATTCATCCCCCATATAGTAATTCATCCCCCATATAGTAATTCATCCTCCATATAGTAATTCATCCCCCATAGTAATTCATCCCCCATATAGTAATTCATCCCCCCATAGCAATTCATCCCCCGTATAGTATTTCATCCCTCGTATAGTATTTCATCCCCCGTATAGTATTTCATCCCCCGTATAGTATTTCATCCCCCATATAGTATTTCATCCCCCATATAGTATTTCATCCCTCATATAGTATTTCATCCCCCATATAGTAATTCATCCCTCATATAGTATTTCATCCCTCATATAGTATTTCATCCCCCCATATAGTATTTCATCCCTCATATAGTATTTCATCCCCCCATATAGTATTTCATCCCTCATATAGTATTTCATCCCTCATATAGTAATTCATCCCTCATATAGTATTTCATCCCCCCATATAGTAATTCATCCCTCATATAGTATTTCATCCCCCCATATAGTATTTCATCCCCATATAGTATTTCATCCCTCATATAGTAATTCATCCCTCATATAGTATTTCATCCCCCCATATAGTATTTCATCCCCCCATATAGTATTTCATCCCCCCATATAGTATTTCATCCCTCATATAGTAATTCATCCCTCATATAGTATTTCATCCCTCATATAGTATTTCATCCCTCATATAGTATTTCATCCCCCATATAGTATTTCATCCCCCCATATAGTATTTCATCCCCTCATATAGTATTTCATCCCTCATATAGTATTTCATCCCCCCATATAGTATTTCATCCCTCATACAGTAATTCATCCCTCATATAGTAATTCATCCCCCATATAGTATTTCATCCCTCATATAGTATTTCATCCCCCCATATAGTATTTCATCCCTCATATAGTAATTCATCCCCCCATATAGTATTTCATCCCCCCATATAGTATTTCATCCCCCCATATAGTATTTCATCCCTCATATAGTAATTCATCCCTGATATAGTAATTATTCATCCCCCATATAGTATTTCATCCCCCATATAGTATTTCATCCCCCCATATAGTATTTCATCCCTCATAAAGTAATTCATCCCTCATATAGTATTTCATCCCCCACAGTACTATTCCCCCCCCCCCCCTTCTAGTAAGCCAAGTCCCCCGTGTCAATTCACTTACCTTTTGCGTTCCTCTCGCTGTCTTCCCGCGCCGTTCGGGTCTTCAGGGCGGACTGTGAGAGGAGCCTAGCTCCCCCCCCCTCACGTTCGGCACGCTGCCCCGCCTACACACATCCTGACAGCCACATCCGCAAGCCGGATTAAAAGGTCCGCGCGGACTTTTGGGGCTGCCAACCGAGAGGAGGCAGGGGAGCGGCCGACCGAGAGGAGGGAGGGGAGCAGGCGCCCGGCACACAGAAGAGCCGCATTAGACTGGGTAAAGAGCCGCATGTGGCTCGCGAGCCGCGGCTTGCCGACCACTGAATCATTAGATTCTAATGATTGGTCTATTTGTGAGCCGAAGCCACATGTTACAGATGAAATTGGAATTTTTCCCACGGCACACCAACAATATCTCACGGCACACTAGTGTGCCGCGGCACAGTGGTTGAAAAACGCTGCCATAGAGCAGCCTTTCTCAACCAGGGTGCCTTAAGGTTTCTTCAGGGGTGCCTTGACAAAATGTCTAAAAATTGCCCAAAACTTGTATACAAGCCAGCTGGTGGAACAAGCCTGCCTTTTAGTTACACAAAGCCACGGGTTTCTATTGTGCATCATTATGACCTTCAAGCTGGCAGCATCCTGACAACCAATGACATCATCAGTTGATAAGGAGGATGTCAGTTGCCTGCACAGCATCCTAGTTTGACCCTCCCCTGCCCCTCTCCATCAGTGCTGGGGTCACATCAGCTCAGTGATGGAGAAAAACTGAGGGAGAAGAGAAACATTGGAATACTAGTCAGTACCAGTGTGCAAAAGTGTATTTGCTTTGGAAGAATAAATCACCTCTAATGGTGTCCTATGTGTGTGTGGATGTT